TTTTGTTTTGTTTAAACATCCTAACATAGTCATCAAAAGGTCAGAGGTTAATCAGTGATCACATCTGACCTTCCTTCTGCTTTGAAAATAAACCTGGAGGTAAATGATTGCTGAAGTAAGCTGCTGTTTCTCTCCCGGCGAGTGTGTTAATCAAATAATTATCTTCATAGTAAACAGCCTGGAAACTGAGAATCATAAAGAGGCAACTGGCAGCTCTTTTGTTGCTTGATTAAACGCAACCTTTGCGTTTTCTGCTCTGCCTCCTGCACGGACAGGCGGTACAGGCGTGGAATAGCCCTTTAATGGCTGAAAGAAGGACATCGTGCAGGTTAATTCATGACCCAGACTGACATGATTTCTCTTTTCCTGCTGCTCGTCAGGACAAAAGGTTTTTGTTGCGGAGCCTCTGAACCACAATGAATGAAGCTGCTTCCACCTGACTGGGAAAGTCACATTTCAGTCTTTGTCTGATGCTGATTGTAAGAAATTCATGTCTGGTAAAAGTATCATTGAAGGCTCTAAAAGAGTACACCTTATTCTAAAAAATGAGCCAAAGAGTGATCTGGGTTCTTTTTTCTATGTCTGTATTATTTCTGCTCACATTCATCTCTCCAGACGGCACAGACAAAGATCATTTCTAGAAGACACCCTCGAAAGAAATATGGGAACATTTACATTTTCTGTTATTCCACATGCATTTATCCGTAGTATTGGCTTCACATTCTGATTGCTTGGATTTATCATCAAACTCGTAGAACAGAAACTGAGTGAGTCGAATGAAATTCAGATAAAAGAACATGAACTCCCTAAAACCACGTAAATGCATTAAACTACGGTTAAACGTCCGTTTTGGACAATCACACTGACATCTGTTGCCGGGCAACTAAACCAAAAGAAGATGCTGGCCCGTGAAGAACATCACAGACTAAACCACACACACCTTCCGCTTGCTAAGTGATTCGAAACCAGCTCCTGCGGTAACTGCAGAGTCATTAACCTGAAAATATGACAACATTAACTCGAACAAAGAGCAAATTAAAACATCACAGGAAAAGCTGCGTCTTGTGTCCTCAGCAGCACAGTTCTTTCAGCATTTATTGTCTTGGTTGTGTTGAGTTGTGAACAAAGCTGCTAAACTGCACAAACCACATCCTGCATAACCAGGATAGAAACCAATCTGCTCGAGAAACACTGCTCAGTCTGGATTACAGAGTCAAATTTTAACATCTATCTGACTTCATAGCTGGAAAAAAAAAAAACAATTAACTGCAGAATAGCTTAAAAATATATTCTGTATTTGACTCATTACTGTGAAACATGTATGGAAACCTTTAAAAAATGTAACTAAATGCAGTTTTTTCTACACAGAGTCATCAACTGTTCGGGATCACGTCAACACAGCCATGGAGAAGTGCTGGGTTTCAAGAAGAAGAGCGCCCTCTTGAGGAAGAGTATGACAATTGCAATAATTGTGCAACAATAATAATAATGAATATTAATAATAATAATAAAAAATCCACTATCTCCGTTAATGTTATAACTTGAAAATACTATTTAAATGCATAATAATATGTGGACCAAGTAAGGACTAATGCAGCATGTCTTATAGAAAGGTCTTTGACTGGACATTGATTTTTACACCTCAAAATCAAACTCATACAGTTTTCTCTGTGTCCAGGAGGTGTCAGCACCATCCCAAAGAAAACACAAACTTATGCAGCATGCTGCTGGAAAGTTTTGTTGTGCCTGTTTTCTTTTTTTAATAATGACAGTTGTAGACACTTTGTTTAAATAGATATTATCATATTAATCAAAATGTTGATTTTTTTTTAACTGTCAAGTTTGGAACTTCAGCAAATGTTGGACCTTCAATTTGATGTCAATATGTCATTCATGGCAGATTGTGGGCCAAAACATTTATTTTTTTATTTTTTACACAGTTTAAATCACATTGTGAAATAGAAACTCTTCTGATATGCTCAAGCTGCAGTGATCTACAACTAAGCAATCATTTTCCCTGAGTGAATAAAAAGCTCAAATGCCAAATCATGCAGTGAGGACACAACTTAACAACATGACTCAGCGTAGCGAAACGGTGGTAAAACGTATACTGTGTCGGATTAGTTGAGCCGGGTCCAGGCCAGGGATCAGAAAGAGCTGAGTGAGTCCAAACCCAATCGATCACTCTGTCTTCAACGTGCCTCGCTGTCCATCTGCCATCAATCAGCTGATGCGAGATGCCTCCCAAGGTCAGAGTCCAGCCTCCCAGAACAAGACATGATTTAGCACTTTGTCAGCAGGCGATAACGTCCAGACGTCTCTCCCAGGCGTACAGCAGATTCATCTGACTGCAGCTGTCCACTTAGGGACGCAGACAGAAAAAAGGGAAGTTCATAAGGAGCAAACTGTAGGTGAATCTCCGACTAGCAGGCGGCGCACTTTCTGTTTTTGATTTATTCTGTGCTGCTTTTAGGCAACTGGAAGTTCTGGAGGAAACTGGCGAAGAGGTTTTGGAGAATATTTGGTAATTGGTAGCTTCGTTAACACGGAGGAACAAACCAGAAAGAACAGGAGTAAAGTTAGTGGTGTGCACTACAGATGAACTCTTCATGTACGATAAAGAGGAAGCAAAGTGTTGTATATGTATGAATTTGCAGGGCTCACTCTGGATCGTCATTGTACAATATAAAAGTTCCCAACAAATAATGGGGAAACAAATGGTGCGAAACAAAACACTTGTGTCTTTGTGATCGTTCATATGTGTCATATTAAGATCAGAATATGATGGAGCTGCTTTTGCTTTCATCCTCTGGAAATCTCTGTAACTACACACTACATGGGCGATGGGTCATCCTTAAGAGAGACTTGAATTTTACAAGATTATATCACTCTTCTCCACATTAAGTCTAGAGCACACCAGCTTTTTTGTTGTTGTTGCTTTTGCCACCACTAGATGATCAATATATAGAAATCTGATTGTCTTTGCTGGTGCAAAAGAGTATTACGGTTACTGTGGAGAAAAACAAAATATATTTTAGAATTCTAAGAAAAGCATCAGAATTGTTCAGCCTTTTTTAAATAGATGATAAGCATCACAGTAATTTTATATAGAAGTGCACTTCCAAGCGAGGCCAGCAGATGGCAGTACTTTAGGACTGGTTGCTTATCAACTCCGATAGGAAAAGAATGTTTTTTCCAGTGGTATCATCACATTAGCAGTGATGTCATAACTCTATGATGCCACAAAGGAATCTCTTTCTTGAATGTAGCTCACAGAGAGAGTTTTGTCAGACCTGTTCCACAGTTCTACTGCAGCAGATCACTCTACACAGCACGTTCGAAAGTCATTGAAACAAGCGGGATATCTACTGTAGATATTGCACGCCTTTCATCGACATGAAGCAACAACAGATTGCATGTAACCATGAAGCTTTTCCAGCCAAGCTTTCATGGGTCGACATAATGGACCTTAACGTCCAAGTCGACTACGACGCTGTCGTTTTCCCTTTTGAGGAAGACAGCAACAGCCCCATTGAGCCGGAAGATGTACCATCAAGATCCAGGGGGAATCAAGTCCTTCCGGCCACTTTGAGAATCCAACATCTTCAGAAGTCGAGCAGAAAACAACTCGGTCTGCTGGCTTTGAGATCACCCCCTCAGTGGAAGTGTGGACAAGACAAGCCAACACGTCACTGATCTGACAAAGCAGGTTGACGATCTTAAAAAGGAGTTACAGAGTAAGACCTTCGACCTCCAAGAAGAACGAGACCGAAGGATTGCATGTGAGGCTGAAGTGAAATCACAGCAGCAGGAGATTCAAAGACTGCAGAGCATGTTAGAAAAAGAACGTCACCAGCAAGTCAAACGAGATCATGACAGAAACGTGCCAGAAACTTCAGGAGGCTCTTCCAAAGTTACAGCTGATAAGAACCTTCTTCAACAACTGGATTACTTCAAGAGGGAGGCTGTAAAACACGCCTCCCACAACAAAGGACTGATAGAAGTAATGGTTGAAGAATATAGGGTGAGACTGAAATATGAGGAGCAGCTCAAGAGACATGCTGAGCAAGCTGCTAAATTTGTAGAACAGGAGGAAACAGTAAAATTGTTGCAGGGTCAGGTTGAAGACCTGAAACTGAAGTTAAAACTCGCTATGGAAAACAATCATCCAAGAATCTCCACCCAACCAGAGGCCCCCCTGCAACTGGAGGAGTCCAAGAAAAGAGAGACCTTGAATCATCCAGGGGTCTCCATCCATAGCCTGGCTCAGCCTTTGCACCGACCCACATCCAGGTTGCAAAGAGAGGAGTTCACGCAAAGCCAGACCTCCACACAAACATGGAGGCCCGAGGAAAAACAGACGTCCAGGCAACCAACCTCCACAGGTTGCATGGAGGGCCTTCATGGCATTGGCAGGAAGGGTAAGCTATGTCCGGCTCGGCCTTTACGCCGACCCACACCCGGCTGGAACTAACCTGGGTCACTATCCAAACCCAGGTTTGGATAAAACTCTGCAGTAATTAATGATTCATTGGTCTCTCTAAATTGTCTTAAGGTGTGAATGAGTGTGTGCAAGGATAAGTGTGTTAGATGATGGATGAATGAATATTTGTTAAAAGTGTCTGACAGTAGAATATGATCCAAAGAATCTGTGAAAAGTTCTCTGGCTCTGCTACTGTCCAGAAACAACCAATCAGAACCAAAAGACAATGTGTTGAATGTGTTGAATGTGTCTCAGCACATTCAACACATTAGACTATTAGTCTACTGCAGCTATACAATTGGCAGAAATACAACCAAACATATCATCACTGATTATTTATAGAATGATTTATAAAACAGGTTTGTCAAAACTATTTCAACCCATATTAGAACTTTGAATTGATTTCCCTTCATTTTAGTAGCTGCAATTTTGCCCAACCCACACATTTTCCCTAACCCTAACCAATACTAGTCTATTCCTAACCCTAACATTGACTAAAACTTAATTTGGATCTTACCTCTAAACGTTACCCCTGACCCAAATCAATGAGTCCATCATATTAGGACCAGAATTTGGTCCTAATATGATGGAACTAATGCAGTGTTTCTCAATGCCCTCCTCAGGTGGATCCCCTGCCTGCATGTTTTAGGTGTTCTCCTTCTGCCAAACACCTGGATTGAATCTGTGTGTGATTAACAGGCTTCTGCAGTACTTGATGACTGCAGAAGAGGTCATGCAATCATTTGGATCAGCTGTTCTGAAATAGAGACACATCTAAAACATGCAGAGCAGGGGGGGGGGCTGAGGACTGGGATTGAGAAACACTGACCTAAAGTGACACTGGACATATAAAGGTGCATTCACACCAAATGCGTTTTGAGCGTCAGGTGCGTCTGGTTTGCATTCAATGTCTATATGGAGACGCTTCGAGCGTCTAGCGCGGCGCGATTTGAACCGTTTGGAGCGTTTGACACATCAAGCGCATCCAACACTCCAGATAGATTTTGAATGTAAACCAGACTTTCCTGATGCTCAAAACGTGTTTGATGTGAATGAAAGTAGAATGTTCAGTTCCACTGGTAACAATGACATCAGCAGTGATGACATCACTCTTTGATGACGTCACTCTTTGATACATCAAATGAATCTCTCTCCTGAGTGAAACACACAGGCTGTTTTCACAGACCTGTTCCTGTTTCAGACTTTTAAGTTCTAACTTATGAATCTTCTACAGGAGGATTGTTACAATTATCTGAAGGTAGAATCAGCCCAGTACAGGTTCACATTCTCAAGTGAGAGAGATTCACCTGGTATAAAGTTTCTCCGTACTGGAATTACACTGAAGATAAATTAGTTTAATCAAAGCGCGTCATGAATATGTGAGCAAAATGCTTTAGCTTGTGAAGCATTTGAATTGCCTTTGGAAAATGAGCTACATAAATACCTTACATTACAGATAAACTATTAAAATGTTCACATTATTTCAATTCAGTATTGTGCACAATAATCTAACCTGCAAACACTAAAAGTATGCGACAGTATTTTGTCTTATTTTCACATAAAGCATTTCATCGTCATAATGTTACGATGCTGACTAGATTCTGTAAAAATAGACATTATGTGCTGTTAGAATTATTGAAACATATTATGGGAGACCAAAAATAATTCTTTCCTGTTTTTTTAAGGTCAACATGAAAGGAAACCTGCCTCATCCACTCATTAGCATTGCAGACACTTGGTGACGGTCAGGAATTGTGGTCATGTAGTGACAAATAATGTAAAGTTCTGCGTTCTCAGCATGTGTTTGGTAAAATGTTGCTGTACTCTATAATGTGAAGTGATAGGATCTTGTAGCTAATAAATAGAAGTGGTGCTAAGATCGACGCCTTGAGGAAACGCATGTTTGATCTTTTGAGTATTTAAACTCATAACCACAAAAAGACAGGAAGTGGCCCTGCAGTAAATAAGACAGAGCCTCTTCGCTTACATAACAAATCTTCTCTAAATGTGACAACCAGAAGGCAAAACATGCAGAAACAGGGATTTGTGTCGACAATGCGCGACTGTTGGCTTCGGAGGTCTTAGGCAGGAAAACCCGTCATGTGCTGCTCCTGCTGAGTTGATGTATGCACAGCATTTTTATCCTGTTTCTTTTTTTTTTTTTTTTTAAGAAAGTCTCAAAAGTCAGACAGCTGCCATCGGGGATAAAAATGCAGCGTGAGCAACAGGAACCGAGAGAGGAGTCTGTCATTGCTGAACCCATTAGAGTTTCCTAAATTCAGCCACATACAGCGAGCCGCACCAGAGTGAATCTAAACTAAACTCATCTGAGTCCCGTTGAGGTGCAATGGGACTGGCAGGTGTAATGTGGCATAGTGAAGTATTTTAAAGTGACTCATGCGAAACGGTTTTACTAAATGAAGCGTCCCTGATTGTAAGACGAACAAAGCAGATCGCCATTAGGCCCAAAAGGATTTTTCCAGACTCGTAGCTTCAAATCGAGGTCCACTGCAGAAAACCAGTCGGTTTGTATGAATGTTATTATTGGCTGGTAATGGCGATGAAACATTACGTCAAAATAATATCGGATGCTCGTGGACGGCTGCAACAAACGTGATGGAGGTGCAGTTTGCTGTGGGCTATTAGTGGGGTTTTATGCACACGTTGCACTTCGTTTTAATTTGCCCGATTTCTGCTCGCAAGAAATCACTCGAGTTAAAACGTGTTCTCAGAAAGCGCTGGAATTGTTCTTACAGCTTTCAAGATCATGAGAGAACTTAAACTTCTGTCCTTAGGAAGTCGTAGATCCATGTATCTAAAGTTAAGGCCTTAAAATGTCTTAAATTTATTATAAAAAATTGGCCTAAAATACACTAGTCATGGCAACCGGTTCACTTCTGTTGCCGGGTAATGCCAGCAAGCAGGATCTTACAAACACCCCCTATTTTATTTTGTCTTAAATTTAACTTAGGTTGACATTAATAAGGCCTTTAAAAGTCTTAAATGTGACTCGATGTAACCTGCAGATGCCCTGCATCCAGATCTGTAAGGAAGTTCCTCTGCTGGTGCAGTTTTAGTCAACCAAAACATTGCTTCAAAATGCATCTTCCGACATGAGCGAGACTTCAGCGCTGAATTGGAGGCCGGTGTGAATTGACTTGCGAAAGGGGTCTGGAGAAAGAGAGAGCAAGTGGCAAAATGAACAAAAATGACAGCTTCATCCCCCTCAGTCATGGCGGTAGATAGATTTTTTTGTCCCCAGCAGCCCCCCGTCTCTATCAGTCATCTCGTTTTAACCCAATCCGCCAGAGAGAACATGCCTCCGCCGTCAATTACAGCAGATTTTTACCACAACAAAGCTGATCAGATGAAAACGCTGCCTGAGCTCGCTTCCCTCCGGTGAACACGTCAAGCCGCTCTCTCTGCTGTGAAGGAGGACTTTCAGAGCTGTTGCATAACGATGTGTCGAGCAGCTCAGATTGGACTTATTTATTCATAACAGACGTGGGCTTATTTTTAATTTTTTTTCCTAAACTACAGTATGCACTCAAATATTTATCAGGCCAACTCTCGCCGTGTCATTGCTCTAAATTATGAAATGGCCATTTTCACAGCCGAATCGCTAATGCTCCGACTCTTGTTCAGTTTTAGTTTGTTGATGCCTGTTGTGATCTGCAGACCATTTTCCAACGTCTTTGGAATGTGGGACTCTTGCGGGTGTCATGGTTGGTTGACGCTCATGCCACCATACGCAATAACTCAATTTGTCTACTCCTGAATTTCTCCAAGTACTTTCCAGCGTTTTGCACCTAGAAAATAATCAGGGATGCACCATTGGTTTGTTTTTGGAAACCGATAACTGATAGTTTTCTCATTCCGAAGGCCAATGAACGACAATAGCTGATAACGTTCCTGGAGCCAACACAGACCAGTGAGCAAAAAGACCAAAAACTGTTGACTCTTTAAAAAAATATGAAAACTGCTTTTGCCATATCAGCAGAAGCCACATCTGAAATGGACATCTATTTAAATGAAGCCCCTTATGCTTAAAGTGCATTTGTCCAGTCAGTTGCTGCCAAATGCTAAAGTCCGGTTATGCATAACAATTTATTTGAAATCATTTAATTTGAATTAGCTTCAAAACCCAATTAATTAGATGTTTCCTGATCTGCTCCAATTTATTTTTTTAATGAATCAAGCATTAAGATTTCTAAACATCTGATTGTAGCAAAACCAGCTGTAACATATGTTATTTATATGAATATTAAAGTGACTAATGAGTCACTTTAATTCTTGAGTTCGACTGCAGTAGAGGTAATTTGTAGACACACTGACAGCAGGACAGTGCAAAACTAGTGTAATTTATTGATATTTACAGTATATACAGACAAGTTGTTTGAAATAGTTCATGAAATCCAAGATGTTTTTTTTTACAGGTCGTGGCATTTCTTCTCGATTCGCTGTGTGATTTGAGCTTGCCACTCTGGTCCCCGTGGCAACAGCCGCTCAGAATCCAGAATCTGGATTGGGATCCGGAACGGGAGCCTGGTCTGTGGAAAAACAGGCCCGACTGATCAACCCTGGGTTTTGTCTATCAAAATAAAAAATAAAAGAAATCATACATGTACATGTGGCCCCCACAAGTTGAAATCGCTCACCGGCTCCCGCTTGTCAAACCGTGTGATCAGAAGAACGTTTTGATGCACAGCTGTGCATCTAAAGGTCGAGAGGTGAAAGACGGCACTGCGGACTTACAGACGGCCAGAAGCCAACCTGCAGCAGCGTCTCCCACCTCGTCTGGTGAGCAGCAGCTGGTTAACAAGACGCCGACGTGCGGCTGGTCATGTGACCCTCCAACCATAACTGACACATAACTGACCGAATGGCGTTTGTTTGGTTTAGTTTTGTGCTTCAGAATTTCAGGAGAGGAGGATTTCATTTTCAAATACATCTAACGGAAATGGGGGAAAAAAGAAATCCTGGTTACAGAGCCATCACTGTTTTCATCATTTCCTGCAGTTCATCAGTTTAGAAAATGGAGAGGTGGTGTGTTGCTCCACTATGCATGTTGGGAGTCAACAGGACGTCAGCTGGTGATGGTGGTGGTCTTGGCAGCCCCTCCTGGCCTACAAAGAAAGAGACTGATGAGGGTTTTCTGTGAAGCAATTTGTGCTGAAATCTGGACACTTTGGCAGCTTTTCTGTTTAAACTGCTGATCATATCTATTCCCAGTCAACCGGGCAGCTTTTCTTGGGATTTGTAACGTTTTGCTGACCTGTTGAGTGATTTTACTTGGCCTCTGAACATATCTTTGGAGAACATATGAGTATTTACAAGAAAACATAAAGACAAATGCATGTAAGACGATAGAGAATATAGTGTGAGGCAGTTTGGTGCTGGCTGTGCTTATCAATGAAACTTTTTAAAAGCAGGAAACGGGAAAACACCAATGCCAGAGCGCGGTGAAATACGGTAGTTTCTCGGCCAAATCGGGAGACTTGATGGGTACGGGGAGAAGTTGGGAACCAGCAGGACTCTTCCCAGAGCCGGCTGAGTGACTTGGGAGTCAGGATGGGAGTTAACTGAAGTCTCTGCGATTTCACGTGTAAACGTTTGCAGTCAGTGCCACTTCAGTTTTGAGGAAAGGTAATTTGTCGTTTGATCATTTCTTTTTCTCCCTTTTCGCCTGGGCTCCGTCTCTGTTCTGTGTTGCACGGGAAGCGATGACTTTTCGCCTGGCCTCCAGCTTGCACAGTCTGCTGCTGCAGTTTGTCTGAGGCCCTCGTGGAACGAGGTAAGCGGTGCGCTTTCTGTCTGTCTGCGAAACCTCGGGGGATTCAAGCCGTATCGCAGGCGGGCCACATGGAGATCACAGTGAATTATTTATGCGTTTCCCGCTCATCTCAGAACAGCAGTGAACGTTTGAGCCGGGGCAGGAAGGGACATGCCTTCAAGCTGCCATTACAACAGAGTGCAACTCAGGCAGCTTTCATAGCAATCAATATGTTCTCTTTCCACTATAGAGGCTTATAAAAACAGCAATATATGTATATGTATTCCCATATTTTGCTAAATATGTGTTTGGATTGATCACTGATGTTGTTCTAAAGGAAAAGGAGCTGAATATTGGATCTGAACACACTGTGAAGAAGAAGCAGCTTCATTTCCCCCTGACGATCCGTTGCGTTTCAAGGAACACTGACGAACTCACTCCTCTGACTCTGGCAGCCACACGGACGTTGGATTGGATTGCAGGAAGCGGCCATATTGGCGCATTGTCGTTGTCTTCGGTGAGGGGCCGGAGGCCTGCGGCCCAGCAAAGAGGCAACGACGTCTGATACGGACCGCAGCCGAAGGGGAACGACGTGTTACGCCTGTTCTCAAGAATCCCGCCGACACAGTCGCTGTTGCCACAAGCAGCTTGGAAAGCAACGAGCCGGATGACCCCTTTGTGACTCGGGTCACATGGTTTTCCGGTACTCAGCAGGGATTTGGCTCTGAGGAAGAAGTTGTTTGCAGAGATATTTATATCTCCAAACTCATGCAGGAAGATTGAGGGGCCTCAAGCGAACCTGGAGGACACACATTCACGTCTTCATAGTTCAGGTGGAGAGACGCTCAGAAGACTGCGAAATACTGATTAATGTTTGAAAAAATAACCCCAAACTTTTCTAGACCACCAGCTGTGTACCATCAAATCAAATCCAACAAAAGGACATGTCATTCCAGTTCTGACGGTCATTTGTACACAATTTCCCCATAAGGACTTGTGGCTGTTTGACTCCAGTAAATAACATTTATCAGGAAGAGGCCACTTATTGCATGTTTGCAATACCAGGGTAGTTTTCTGGGGCCATGAGTACCCTTGTGTTTCCTCTGTATCTTCCAGGGTAAATGTTTAGCTTTAAAAGCCCTTGAGGTACTAAAAGCAAACTGACTCTGGACCACTGAAACCAGAGCGGTGAACACGTGGAAGACCAAAAGTCAGCTGTTCCTGTGTGAGAAGGCCTGACGGCACACAAGAAACACCGGTAAAATGATGTCATGATGTGGGATTGGCTCACATTTTCTTTGTAGTTTCACAACAAAAATGAATCTAAATTTGCCCTTAGAGCAAAGTGTATGGTCGGCTGTCCGGCGTGTCTTTGCATTGGCCGTGGAATGTAATGATTAACCAGCCAGCAGCTCTGTGACTGTGAACAGGAGTGAGCAAAATGGACGGGTGGACAGAAGTTACTTCATTCCTCGCTGTTTTGTAACACAGTGTCTAATTTGGATCAATAGATTTTCAGTAAATGACTACTTTTGTCAGTGTCCAGTTATTTCAGTGACCTTTGTGAGCGTCTTGCTCTTCAACAGACAGTTCCTCTGTGTGTACATGTTAAACATTTCTGATACATTTATCATCTGTTTCTCAGTTTGATCACTGAGGCTTCCTCTGGACTTTGTGACCGTCAGCAGAGTTGCTGCTTCATAACAGAAATCTTCATCGGTAGGATTCTCATTTCGCTCGAGATAAAGAACGGAAACATCCTCTCTGTGAAAGTGTGTGTAAAAGTGTGTATGTGTGCGCGAGTGTCCAGGTCAGAGAACGACAGCCTGCCGTTGTCCCAGTCCAGATTCACTCTTATCCTGCGGAGCGTCTTCTGGACTGGGAGCGTCCTGGGAGGAGCTGGCGGCGACCGAGCTTTGTGTTCGCCTTCAAAGAGCCCCATCACAAATAGTCCGGACCGGGCCTCTCCTTTCCTTCGAGCCGACTCCGCTAACACACCGAGGGTCCAGAAGGAGCTGTCTCCAACGTCGACGTCCCAGCTGTGGCTCCCCGAGTCGAAGGCCTTGGAACTCAGGACGGACGACCAGCCGTCGAACCTCTCCGGGTTGTCAGGACGGTCCTGCTTCTCTCCCAGGCGCAGGCCGGTCAGGTCCTTCGACAGGTTGACGTCTACGTCAGCAGTGTTTGGGTCCAGGACGAGAGGCGTGTAGGAGACCACGTCCCTCATGTTGCTCCAGATGCTAAAGGCCAGGTTGCCCCGGTGTTTGGCCTGGTCTATCAGAGCCGCTGAGGGCAGCGGTGGAGCCTCCAGCAGGGGGCAACGCTTCACTCTCTCCGCTGCTGCCCTGTAGTTGCAAAGGAACAGGATGTCTTCTGCTTCCAGCTCCTCTTCTGTGTCTCTGACCGTGTCCGAAAGCGCGGCAATCTCCCTGCTCAGACTCTCTATCTTCCTCTTCATCAGTCCACTCTTCTGCTCCTCTTCCTCCCTCAGTGCTGCCAGCCTGTCCTCTTCTTCCTCTGCCAGGAACTGCCGAAGCTTCTTGAACTGCTCCTTAATCCGCCTCTCCGTGTGCCTGGCCTGGAACTTAATATGCTCTGCCGTCCGGTCAAACTCGTCTTTAGCTTTCTTCCCGAGCCTCAGCCTCTTCTTTATGGGTTCCAGATTGTCCAGCAGTTTCCTCCGTTTCCTCTGCGCCGCCTCCTCGACGGGCCTGATCTTGTGGTTGGTGTGCCTCCCCGAGTCCCTGCAGATGTGACACACCGGCTGCTCATGGTCCAGACAGAAGAGTTTGAGCTTCTCGGAGTGCAGACTGCACAGAGCCTCCTTTGACCCGTCAGCCATTTAGCCATCTACAGGAGCTGAAAACGCAGCAGACAGAGAGTCCAGTTTGTCCTGGTTTCCTCCGCTCCGTTTCACTGAGCTGTGCTTTTGGTCAGACTCACCGTCAGCGTGTTGGAGCTTGAGCAGCTCAAATGTCCTGCATCCAGCGTCGCTCTGGTCACAAAGTGCTTCCTGTTTGATTTCACCTGGGCTGTTTCAAGGGTGGGTCTTAAACCTGTTTGTCCTGCTGATTCACCTGACATTTAAAGGCCTTGTTTATCATAAACAATTGAACAAGCTTTCTATCTTTCCCCGCATAGACGATTCCCCACCAGAGAATAAACATCGTCGCTTCTTGCATCCAATCCGTTCCAGGTGAAGTCCACACACATACAGTTCACAGCCACAGGTGTGTCAGAAAAGGGGCGGGGCTTAAACCTGTTAGACCTCATATTTCAAACACTGGTGTCCACGTGTCACTGAGATTTGTTTAATTCAGTTGTTTTCCACACCTTGCAAGCATTTACATCTCTTCCACGCATTCGGCCCAAAACTGTGGAGGAAAACAACTGTGTATCCATGCAGCAGCTTGTAAAAACAGAAAAACCTCACAGCAGTTTTTCAATAAACTGCGCTTCAGTTTATTGAGTTTCTTTTTCCTCCCCCAGCAGTAATCCATCAAGCAGAAGCCTGGACTTTGACAGGACCATCGAAACAACTTGGTTCTTTTTTTTTTTTAGCTACTCTGTAATAAATTTGCTGCTGCGTTTGGGATCATTGTCTCAATGGAAACCCAGTTAATTATGACCTGTTTGACAGCTGCTGGTTTTGTTTTTTGTTTTTTTAAAGTGGAGCTCATATCCAGATTCCAAATTATTAGAGACTGTCAGTGATTTTCTTATGAGAAGCATTGGTCTAATTAGAATCAGACATTTTTGTTTAGATATTGAAATTATACAGATTTTTTTTTAAATCTTGTGCCATGATGTATCAAATGTCACGGGCAAAATATTTGCCTTCAAAAATTCACCTGCAAACCAGTCCACAAACTGCGGTTACCTGGTTACCGTTTTATCCACTTGTTTTTCTGATCAATAAAATTCAAAAAGTTTGGATTAAAAAATTACACAAAAGTAAGAGTGTCTGCTTTCGTGACAGAATGAGACATAGAATTAGGCAACTATAAGGCTTCTCGTAAAAACACTAAATACAAAAACAATTTATTAACATACAAAACATCCGTTTTTGCAAAGCTGGGTAAAAATATGAGGCTCCAGAGCCGCCTCCGCCAAATGAGCTGAACTTCCCGCCACTTCTGTTTAAATCAGGCACCTCTGAGAAGTGAGACTCCGCATCTGAGGGAGATTTACCTGTACTTGGAAAGGTCAAGTTAAAAATAGAAATCCAAACAAAATGCTGATCAAATGACTGAACGCCAGAGTCAGCAGCTGAGTAACCCGGTCCTCACAGAGACAGTGGCGCCCAGTAAGAGAGGACGACAGGTGAGGAGCAGCAAAAATCAATAAATCAGAATTATGAAATCATAATCCTCCCTACATTTATAAACTGCAACAGCTGCTTCATCAAGGTCATGGAGGATTTCTTTTTCCTTCTTGTATTTGGAATGAAAAGTCTTTTGAGGATTCTCAAGTCACGGATAGAACCATAAAAATGTCCCGCGCTGCTCTGTGACAAACTGAACCTTAAGTAGTTTGAAGTACTGCTCCCTTTACCTTGAGGTAATGTTTTGTTTCTTTAAGAAAATCCTGTTGCATGTCTGGTTCTTTTCAACAAAAATATCAATTTAAAGAATGACGACTCGTAAAAGGAAATAGGGAAACAAGAAAGAATCAAAGGTTTTCTGTGGAAACATCGTTTCTCTTTTGCACTTTTACATTATTCTGCCTCTCTTGAGCACATCAGTTACTGTGGAGGCAGGTCTGAAAATCATTAGACCTGCAGAGAAGATCATTAAGACTAATCTTCCCTCCATTTGTGACTTGTACAGATCCAGGGTCAGGAAAAGGGCAGCTAACATTTCCGCAGACCCCACACATCCTGGACCTGGACAGATGAGGCTTTTATCTTCAGGATAAAAGTGCTACAGACAATTGTTTACAAAGAAACGGCTGCTGCAGAGACAGTTTCTACTCCAGACTGTCTATCTGATGTGCACTTCAAGCCAGAATGCTCAGATGGATACAAGGCAGACACGCACTCATCCAGCATCCTTACCTTTTACCCTACGTACACATATGAACGAGACAGAAAATGTTATGTTTTATTTCCCCAAGACAAAGTAGGCAACAAGACATAAAGTTATGCAACTATAGTCAGCCTATAAATGCACATAGGGCTGATTTAAAAACAAAGATCTGTTGAAAAGCAACAACAAAGGAAATGTTGAAATGTACGAAACAACATACAAGGCTAAATTTCCTAACTCCCATCTTTTTCCACTTTCTTGATATACCTTTATATTTCAAGTGAGAGCAAAGCAGATCTGATGTCAAATTCTTCGTTTATGTGAATACCTTGAAAACAAGGCTGATCGTGATTCAGAAAAATATGGAAGGAGACAAAATTAGCAGCTACACATTATCTACAACTCTCTCTGAAATGTATGAGTAACAGCTCACCAGATTTAACATCCTGCCTACTTGAGTATAAATTTGTCCTTTTGCTTTAAATCTGATGTGCAGCGAGGAATGACAAAACTCTTTTTCTTTCTTTCTTTCTTTCTTTTTTTAGATTTGATATCCCTTTCATATGCCTGAAGCCCCTTTGGAGTCAAGATGCTCTTCTCATTAAACATTATTTAAAATCACAGTTCGAATTTCATTAGCCGAGAACATCCTAACCCCTGGATATGCAACCTCACACAAGAACGACACGAGCGCAGCACCACAGGGAAGAGCTATTTATCATACTTGCCCTCAGGAAACAAACAAGGAAATGGATCTAGGATGTTGTTTAGTGCTCTTCTCCTATATTTATCCCCCCCAAGGTCATGAGACTGGAGCATTCACGCTGGGGAGCGAGATGCCAGTCCATCCATGTGTGTTCGGTCTGCCCACAGAGCCAGGGGTAATCGCTGCTGGGATGGGGGGAAATTAGGATAGCAAAACATGAAGCAATCGGCAATCAGAGCTTGAAAACGTACGCTCAGCAATGCACATTTGAGTGCCTTGAGTTTATTTTTTTTTTAGGAACCTCAACATTTATAGATGAGGAAATTAAATATCTGAAGGCTTTTAAAAGATGTTTTATCACAGAAATATGGAAAAATATTCTGTGGTTCCAAGAGAGGGGGGGGGAGCATAATTCTTTGTTCATAATTATGTAAAAATTTGCAGTGTTTGAGAAAGGGGCTGTTGCATTCTGGGTGATCGCTTCCTCGACTACCCCAGTTGAAAAAAAATATGCTTTTCATTTCCAAACCACACAAAAAAGATTAGCACCTTAAGAAAATACGAATATAATACAGATTTCTGTAACTTCTTGACTCACAATTAAATGTTTCTCACCATTGGATTTCAGCGTCTTCGAGATGCCTTGAGGTTATTTCGTTCAACTCATGTTTTCTTTAATCCCTTCAGACCCCCACACCTGCAGTTATTTCCCAAAAGCTGTTATAAATTATTTGCTAATTCAAAAACTATATCTTGAGCTATTTTATTTATTTATTTATTAAACAAAAACACCAGAACCTTCCAATTACTTATTCTCTTTGCGTAATGTGAAGTTAACGGAGATCGCCGGCCATGCTGTAATATGCCAACAAGGTCATGATCAAATTCATAAGGTTTGGGAATAAAAACATGTGCACAATCCTGTGTGTCATCCTGGTTGTGTGCTGCATATAGTTATTCTTTGAAAATGAACAAATTCCCTCAAATTCCCTCACATTTTCACGGCCAGTCTTGCACTCTCCAAAGCCCTCATTAAACGCTGCTGTTTGAGCTCTTGCAGTACTTTGAACTGCTGCGTTGTTGTGAGGCGCTAATAGGACTCTCTGTGCGTCTCTGTGCTCACTCCAGCAGCCTCACTGCGTTAAGGTTCTCAACACTAGCAGACACTTGCAGATGGTATTCTACTGCGTTCATTGCTTTTCTGCTTACAAAGAGAAGCTGCTCTTGTCTCGCAGGAGCACAGGCTGACAATAGTTCTTCATTTATGAATAAAAGTCAAAACAAAGCGGACCAAGCAGAGAGAACATGACAACTTCCCCCTGCCTCCCCATCCATCTAACCTGTCTAAATTAGATGACTCTATTAGCAGATGAGGGTGGGACTGATTCTGACTCATCCTTGTGAGCGCCGCTATCATCTGTGCAGCGACTCTGTTTACTGTTTACTCTGTTTACTTTGTGCCCCAGTTTGCTAACGGCTTTTTGTTCGCTTCTGGCGTGGACACGCTGAGCACCGACAGCGGAAACAAGCGGGTTGAAAAGCGGCAATTCTTCATCATTAGCAAGAAGGATTAGAAATAACTTTATTTAGGTGGCATACTCTTCGGCGAGCTGGTCATTCAACATGCAGTCATTCTGCTGCGAGGCAGAATGAGGAGCAGACGCAACATTATAAGCCCCCGCTAACTGTCGATACCCACTACTTGTCAGATCATGTACATGGTAGCTGGGTCATTGTCTTGGGGGTTGTGACATTGGGAAATTAGCAGCAGTTACTCCTCTTTAATGGTGAGCTTATTTCATTGAACCCATAGATGCTATAAAGTTGATGTCTTTGTACTGAATAAAAATCCTCATCTTGCAGTTTTGGAGATGCTTTATCACCCCCCAACATATAATTATGCATTCCTTTGTGTTGGTCTATCGGATCCCAATACAATACAAGTTTATGTTGAGATCCGATAAACAATAGTTCTGTGTTTGAAATGTGACCTCCTGCACTGGTTAGGGTCAGAGGTCATTACTGTTAAGGAAAGAAGCGCAACAGAGAGGTTGAACATTTGAAAAGCAGTATTGATCGCATGCCTTTTGCAATCCGTTGTTCTTCCTGTGTGTGTGTGTGTGTGTGTGTGTGTGTGTGTGTGTGTGTGTGTGTGTGTGTGTGTGTGTGTGCGCGTGTGTGTGTAATTACACAAGTGGAGTCAGGTGTTTTGGAGTTG